AAAGTCCTTAATTCTCTCTAGAGAAGAAACTTCTCCTTAAGTTCTTTTATCAAGAAATCCTCCTTATGGTAAGAACATCACTCTTGCTTATCTTCCTACAAGGAAGTGGCGTATCCATTCCTAGTCTAATCCATCGTTTTTTTAGTTGTTTGAGCTTCAAGAATACATGGAAGAAGATTGAGAGCAAACTATAAGTTATTTGGAGTGAAGAATCAACCATTCTCCAACTAGTTTCATCAAAGTTTGAACTTATAGTGGAAGCGCCAATTAGTGTGCTAGTTTCTACCTTTGATATTTTTCTTAAACATCCTTTAAAAATTTCTAATAAATATATTTTCTTTGGTCAATCTATGAAGGCTAAAAGTAAGGATTTCTTGATTGTCAACCAAGTTAAGGCATCTTTAAAAGAGAATGCCCAAGTGTATAAGATGCCAACTTCCTTGAAGTTGGGGAGTAAGGCTTAGCAAGTGAGTTTCTTGAAGTGTTTTTGGAGGACATGTCCAGTTTACCACCCAAGCCTAAGATAGAGTTTTCCATAAGCATCATACTAGGAACTAGACCCATTTTTCTATAGAATGTCTCCTTTAAAGCTAGCTAAGCTTGAGGAACAATTAAAGGAGAAAAAAATATTTTATGAAACCCAGTGTATTACCTTAGGGAGTGGAAGTCGTTTAGTGAAGAAGAAGGATGGGAACAAAAAGTTGTGTGATAGCTAAATAAGGTGAAGATTAAAGAATAAGTATTCTTGCTTAGGATAAATGACCTTGTGGACCAATTAGTGAGAGTCTGTGTATTTAGTAAGATATACCTTAGATTAGGTTGTCACCTAGGTTAAACCAATATGGTGGCTGATGCCTTGAATAAGAAATCTTTACCTATGTCAGCCTTGAGGATTAGAGATATGGATTCAATTGCAAGAGTTTAGGGTTATAAGCTTAGCAAGTGAAATTACCCCTAACAGTGTGAGATTATCTATGTTAAGAGTCTGTTAATTGAGAGTATGAAAGGTCAAAAGGTTGATCAACTCCTAATGGCTAGAGTAGAGACCATAAAACAAGGTAAGGGTGGTGATTTTATTTTGGAAGGGGATGAAGTGTTGAGATTAAAGGATAAGATATGTGTACCTAGTAATCCAGAGCTTAAAAAGTTGATCCTAGAGGAAGGACATAAGAGCAAGCTTAGTTTTCACTTAAGTGCCATTAAGAGGTGTTAGGACCTTAGGAAGATGTTTTGGTGGCCTAAGATAAAAAGAGACATAATTAAGTTTGGGAGTGTGCTTAGTATGTTAGAAGGCTGAGGTATTGTTAGGATTATTACAACCTTGAGTATGTCTGAGTAGAAAGGGGGTAGTGTTCCCATGGACTTTGTGATCAGGTTTCTTAAAACCACAAGAGGTTTAGATTCCATCTAAGTTATAGTGGATAAAATAACTAAGTTTACTCAAAGAATCATTCAATCCTTAGAGAACTTGCTTAGAGCTTATGCATTTGAACAAATGGATAATTGGGATAGCTTTATGCATTTGATAAGGCTTACTTACAAAAATAGCAACCATTCCAGTATAGAAATGGCACCTTACAAAGCCTTGTATGGGAGGAGGGTAAGACACCTTTGCGTTAAAGTGAACCTAGTGATAACCTTGTGAAAGGACCTAACATAGTTCAACAAACTACATAAAAGTTTAAGATAATCATAGATAAGAGGATGCAAGCTCAGAGTAGGCATGAAAGTTATGCAAACAAGATGAAAAAGAACTTAGAGTTCCAAGAGATCAATCATGAGTTAATTCACGGATCGGGGTTGGTAAAGCCTTGAAGTCTAGAAAGCATACCCCTCATTTCCTTAGTCCATATGAAATTCTTAAAAGAGTTTTTGAAGTAGCTTATTGAGTTGTTTTACTTCCACATTGTTTAAACCTTCATAATATGTTCCATGTGTTTAAAACTTTGAGAGTACATCGATGATCCATCACATGCAATAAAGTTGAACCATCTTAAGGTCACAGGTATCGTATTTGTCAGGACCTTACCAGTGAAAGTTGAAAACCAAGTGATTAAATTGCTCAAAGGTAAGGAAATGTATCTGGAGTTATTGGTGATAGTTGAAATTTAGGGACAGATTTTCTTTTGAAAAGGGGATAATTGTAACATCTTGATTTTCTAAAATAAAATAAAATAAATTGAATTTAGTAAAAAATTATGTTATATACAGTTAATTAATTAAGTTTATAATGTAAATAATGTTTTTATTAATTAAATAAAATAAATATTTTAATAAAATAATTATATTTCTGAATTAATTGATTTAATTAATCGGGATAGTGATATAATTAAAGTGTTTTAAGAAAGAATAGGTAGTGAGTTAGAGAGGATGCTAGGGTTGGACTCTTGAGTCCAATTTGGAGGCTTATTAATGATAATAAAAAATAGATTAGGTCATATATACACGTCAATTTTTAAAACTCTAAGAGTGCTTATAGAAAAAAACCTAGAGGAGAACCCTGAGGAGTGTGTGGAGTAGCCTCAAAATAACATAGATCGTGTTTGTTGACTACGAAGTCAACATCTTAGGAACAAATAAAAAAATACAATTTGCCATGGTTCAATAGGGTGTGATACCAACTAGGGAAGCACAAAAGGATACGATGCAAATGATGAGTAACAACAAAGAGGAGAACCCAAAAGACACCACTAGAGAAAATGGATAGTAGTGACTAAGGCTACGGAGAATGCGCTTGTGTTGTGGAACTGTCACTCGAGGTAATGGAGGAGTGAAAATGTCTCATTCGTGGACATGGATGAGGGGTATAGGTAGTGTGAGACAACCCCTAAGCCTCCATACAAATTATTTTGGTATGCGTTTGATGATATGAGTATTGTTATGAAATTATTGTGGTGTTTGGATGTGGATGATGATGAAATTTGTTGATCTCGATGATTGAGTAGTGATATGTTACGTATGGTGAATAAATTGAGGATAAGGTTGTATGTATGATTTGAGAATTTTGGTGTGGTTTGTTTAATTCTAAAAACTCTAGTATGAAGATATCTCAATAATTAGGTGATTTCTCTCTACATAATTAACCAAAGAGAGTTTTGTTTGTTTGGTTGAAAATTAGATATTTGGGAATTCAATTTAGACTTAACAATCACATAAAAATGTTATGAAATTATTGTTATGTGAGTCACAACATGAGCATCACGTTTTATTCTCAAAACATAATGTCTACAACTTGTAAGCATTACGAAGACCTTTAGATTATCAGGTTATGTTTCATGGTAATCCTAAGTATTGTAGCCTTGTATGTTAGCTTTCAAATAGAACTAGAATCACCAAAAATAGAGGTGTAGAACTCAATTTATTATCAAATTAGTGGGTGGTTGTGGTTGTTGTGATCTGGCAAAGAATCACGTATGATTATTGCTTATATGTATTGTGTTGTTGTGGTTTTTGGAGTCCATGCATACATGATTTGTTGAAGGATAGTGTGAGATTATAATAGTAGGTCTCAAAGGTCATCTACCTAGACCTTGAAAAGTGTTATGGCAGGGACATTGTAACAAGAATTGGAGGTAATTTGACTAGCTATAACACATTGACAAGACCCTGATAGATGTTTCCTAGTTGATGATGGATTAAGGAGATCGTCGGAGGGAGGCGGTCCTAGCATTGGAGAGGGGTGGTCCTGTTCTATGGCTCCTAAGCTATCTTAAGATGATGAGGAGGAGGAGGAGATTGGTACCACATGCATGTAGAATTAGGCGTATGCATTTACATGAGTCTTTATATTATAATTGAGATTGATTTGATTATATAAATTGTTGAGCTTGATAATGAATGAAGGTAAACCGATCAATATAATTCAAATGAGTGTTGGCTTGAATGTGAATATGTATATAAATGCATGTATGGAGCTTAATCATGTTGTATGTCTTGTTAGTGTTATCCTTATGTCTCATATGTATTTGTACATGGATGAAATATATTCTCATTCTTTGTGTTTGTTGTATGTGTTTGGGTTGATCACCATTTGTAGGCTTAGTGAGAAGGAGTTTGATGAAGGTGAAAACTTAATGCTTTCTTGGTTATTTCAGGATCTTGCTCTAATATAGTGACATCAAGAAAAAGTTTATGTTTCATTTAGTTTAATAAAGTTCATTAATTTTATATCTTTTTGTCTTGTCAAAATTTTATGTAACCAAACATTTATGCCTTACTTGGATTATTTTAAAATTTTAATCATATTTAATTTAAGAGCTTAATTTTATAAAGATGTTGTGAACCCTTTTACTAAAATGACAAAGTTTAATTGAAATGTTTTATTATGAATAAATTGCTTAAATAAATTTGGAATAGAAGGGTGTCACATTTAGTATCATATACATACCTTTTTCTTCTTGGTTAACCTTGTTTGTCCATTTTCTTTAGTTTTACAATTGTTACGATAATGATATGAGATAACTAAGTTGAAGATTAATATGTCCAACTTGGTAAATGGAGAATATGACCAAGCTTATTTCATTGGTTTGGTTAATATAAGCCCCATGTAATTTTATTTCATGACCACTTTGGCCTTCAACAATTTTTAATAATTAATATAAGCTAATAATACCTAGCAACACCATCCTTGTCTTAGACAAGCTTTATAGGAATATGTCGAAAGAATAACACATGACTTCTAACTTTTCAAATGTTAAGAAAACATAATAAACTCATTAAAAAAAATATACAATTATCTTTATGCTTGAGCAAATGCCAAATATTTGGTATTAGTGTTCCAAAAAAGTATCGAATCCTACTTTGAGATGATTATTTAGTAGTAGTGTTGTTTTTTGTGATACCTTCTATCCCTTTATCTAATACTTATAATAAAAGATTTTTGAAATGAATGTAAGTAAAAAAAATAGAAAATATATGGATAAGACACCTTAAGTAGATGATTTTCATTAAAAAAAAATACATCATTGTGACAAATCTTAGGTTTTTTTCAAATAAGAATATTAAAAGGTAACATAAGTTAAACATTAAGAAAATAACTTGGCAAGCCAAAGGAAAAAATAAGTAATAAAGACTAAACAAAGGTTTTAAGAATAATGAAACAAGTCTGATATCAATATTTCTAAAATAAACAGAAAACATAAACTCTAAAATCTCCGATGTCACATCCTATCAGAGCACAACCCGAACACATAAATAAGGTTTCAATTCCCATCACCAACATCTTCATGTTAATGCTGCCCACCTGCAAAAAACATGATAAAGAAAAATAAAGCAAGGGAGTGAGATACGTCACACTCTGGCTCCCAGTGTGATATAAGGACAAACAGCTATACATAATCATGTAACACTGGTGTACATAATATCAATAACATGTTCATGACAATTAGAATATAACTAAGAAATTCAACAAATGTCAACATGGTTATTATCATCACAATTCATACAAATGCAATGGATAAAAACTTCACAAATTCTATATTTATGTGGTGCTAGTAACACACACCAACATTGTCCAAAGGCTCATATAGGATAGCCTAAAAGAACATGTTGGTGGCTCACCCATCGCGACACTCTACACTAGGGAAAAGATACACTAAGGCGTTTTGAGATAGTAGTATCGCAAAAGATTCACCCCATGCACTCAAACTTGTGGAAATAGGGCTCCCAAACCCAATTGTTTCCAAGGCCATGAATCCCCAAGATCACATAAGGTGAACCTTCCCTGACATTGTATTCCACACCATACCTCGTCACAAAACACTTTTATGCACATGATGCATGTCACCTAAGAATCAATGCAAGACTCACATAACATGTTCATATCATTCATGTTTCACAAGGCTCAAGGTTCATTACATCACAGCTAGGCACACATGCCCACACTTTCAACCCAACCACCTCATGTGACCATCACATGGTCCACACACAAACACAACATGTCACCATCACGCACAACTCAACTAGTAATTGGGTATAATTAGGATCAACATTAACTACACATTTGTTTCATTGTTTAATTACTAAAACCTATTATTGGGATACAATCAAAATGTCACATCATTCATACAAAAGGATGAATATGGGTTTATAAACACACAAAGTCTCCTCTAGTAAAAGACCTTTTGGACGATGGCCAAAAGTAAAATCATGAGGGCTTAGGCCTAAAGTGAACAATACCTTAAATGTGGATACATGTATTTAGTGACCCCTTCCCTCAATGCACAACAAATGGTATCAGAATTGGTGGCTCAACTAGACAAGTATGATGAAATTAGTAGATGGATTTGAGTATAGGATCTCTTGTGTCAAAAGTCTTCGTAATGGTGGTCCATGTATAAAGGAGAATCCTTATGGTGATATGGAAGGTTAAGAAACGTGTCTTGCTATCGTAAGTTAACAATGGAATGAAGGTGCAAGTACTTTGAGTGTGATTGAGCTCCATGGACCATCATCAAATATACTCGTGGACTAGCTTCTATTGCAAAGGGGAGGGGGTAAACCATGGTCATTTACTTGAAAGGAGGATTGTTGGGATATAATCAAAGTCGCATATTATTCAAATAAAAGGATGGATATAAGTTTATAAACACACAAAGTCTCAATTGGTAAAAGGTCTTTTAGATGTGGACCAAAAATAAAATCATGAAAGCTTAGGCACAAGTTGGACAATATCTTACCAAAGTAGAAACATGTGTGGGGTGACCCCCCGATGCACAACACCTTTATATCAATGACATGAATCAATAAATCCTAAGAAAAATGTCACCAACATACCTAAAATAGATTCATAAAAAAAATCATTCATTAATACTATGAGTATAATTTATTAACTCTTAATCACCTTCACACCATTGTTAATGATAAGGATCATATCACTAAGCTATCTATAATATAATTTACTTAATATCAAAATTATAACTCGTCTCATAACATTATTAGTACCACATAATTATATTTTCTTAGGCATATCTATCACCAAATCACTTCCAATTACTACTTCAAATATAATAATAATAATAATAATAATAATAATAATAAACATTTCAATACCCTACTTAATTACTCAAACGTTGTTAATAATATCAATGATTATGTCCTTAAGCTAATTGCCATCTGATCACCTCAAACCGACTACATAAACTCATTACTCATCTCACGCTCAGCTTAGTGGCGCTCGACAAGACTCATCTCACGTTTGGCACCACCCGTCTAGTGGGTACCATGTTGCTCACTAGAGGTCTCATGCCTAATGTGACCATGCTCACATCTGACGAAAAAACCACAAAGAGCTTTAGGAACTCTCGTGCCTAACATGTCCTCATTGGCATCTAGTGTTGTCTAGGCCCAACACCATATCTCCACGCAAGACAAGATCGCATTTTTGTGACCTCTTATTGCAAAAATTGCACCAACTTGCAATTCTCAAACATAACTCATTCCAATTATTTAAAATACGAATTTAAGCCTAATTTTACTATTATGAATCCTTTATTACTCAAATTACACACCAATTGAACAACTATTAATTACATTCCATCTATCTCCATCCTATCCATAAATTGGGATTTTCTATATGAATTTAAGAGTTCTCACATTCACATTTCACCTCGGTAATCATCATATGCACCATACAAAGCAAAATTATCAAAAACGACAAAGCATAATGGACTCTGTCAATAAATCACTCAAAATACAAGTAAAAGTAGGAGGTTTCCAAAGTTCTCTCATAAAGTACAAAACACAAATAATAGATATCCAACACCCTAAACCAAGATTACTCACATTCTTTACCTCAATAAGCATTTAATAAGAGACGAGGATCTTCAAGATGCACTCCTACGACCTCTGTGTTCTCCTCATGAGTGTCTTTATGTTTCAAAGAGAATAAGGAAGAAGCATACGTTTTAGAAAGTGTAGAAATAAAAATTGAGGGTAAACCCTAAAAAAAAACTTCCCCTAATCTAACCTTAACTCCATAGGCTAAAACATTAATCTCAATCTCACTTCTCCTTTCCTTAATAATTAAAACAAAATATAATTAGAACAACATAATATATATATATATATATATATATATATATAAAAAGAGAATTAATTAGCCTCTGAATCTAACACCAGAAATTTGGATGATTAAATTTGCCAATTACCGTGCACCCCATGGTCTTGACCATCAATAATTAAACGGGCATAAACAACACCATGCGTGGATATTTTTCCCAATCCACCAGGCCACCACTGTTTAAATCAGTGTCAGAAGTTATATATATATATATATATATATCCAAATAATTTATATATAAATGCTATTGTTTTGCAAAGCCTCCGTTTATTTAAAAAAAGCACAATTATTTTCAAAGCCTCTATATTATTTTATAAAATACCTTTAATCAATTAAATATATATTTTATTATTTTTAGAAAAATTTGAGGGGTTCCTGTTTTCATTTCTTTTCTTTTCTTCGCCCTTGATAAGTTGCTCTTGGACAACATTTTGGATAAGATAGAGGACCATATTTATTAGAGATATAAGGAATTGTTTTTAAGAAAAAAAGTAAACGCTATACTACCTTGAGATGTTGAACAATTTGAATTGTCTGGCTCTCTAAAGATGTGAACCAGGAAGGTTAGTTTAGTTCTATGAATAAGCTCAAAGGTGCAAACATCACCAACTTTCAAGCCATTGTTCTTTACAAATGCCCTCCATGATAGTCTAACTTTTGTTGTTGTCTTGTGTTTATATATCAGGAACTTTGTAGGCCAAACTCTCCCATCTAACACTTGAAGGTTGATAAGTCCCTGATTCACGTGCAAATCAAAGTGTCTCTGACAAAACGTATATGGTAAATGCTGCCATAGAAAAGAGAAAGTTATTTTCTTTTTCAACACATGTTCAAGATGCAGGCCTAATGTTTTTCTGCAGCTTACCAATCGATATTGAGTACCAAGATATGATGGCTGCATGACAACCAAGATGAAAGGATTACAAGGTTTGAAAGAATTTGCTCTATCAAGAGCGGAAACTTGGTTAGCAGTAGCCTTTGATTTTTCTGCAAAATTATGTAAGACAGACATTTTGTGATCATCTTTCAATTTAAAGCTGCTAAGAATTGAAAACTACAGTGTGTGTGATTTCAAAAATGGTTTACTAGACATGCAAGAGATGCAGGCCATGGAAAATATCAAACAATAGAAGTAAATTAAGGACAAGAGAAGATAATAATATGTGTTAACTTGTGAAGCTTTTTATGAAATGCTTGAAGACACAAAATCTTATACCTTTGCACTTTGTGTCAGTACGATGAAGAGCCTCCTCAGGTAATATCTCGTTGTTCTCAACTTTAACACAATTATAACTTGTCAATTGATATTGTTGAAGAAATTCCAATGAGGAGTTGTCTTTTCTCTTTGGACCTGGTCTGTGATACTCCAAATTCTCAACATTTGTAGACTCATTTCCTCGACTATTGGAAACTGTTTCACGTTCTATTGTTTGGGAAGGATATTTTATCTCTAAGGCACTCGGATCAAATATGTGTACCTTAAAATGGGAAGTTCTTTCGCATCTAAAAATCAAAAGATGGCCATGAGCTAGAGAGTGATACTCAGCAAATTTTTTCCAACCCTTTTGAAACCATATTTTACCATAACATTTTTCCAAATTCAATTTCCACTCAGCACCATTTGGTGTTTTAAGAAATACAAAACTTGTTGACAAGTCTTCTCCATATTTCTCCACATACTTATTTGGGATCATCTGTGAAACACATCAGAAAAAGTGTAGGATAACGTTCAGAAGGTTTTATATTTACAAATAAGTATGTGAAAATGTATAGGCCACCTCGCTGCAATGCCATTCATGAATTTTACTTTATGTCTACAAATATGATGCTCATTATATTTGATATTGACTATCAGAAAAAACAAACAAAAAATTCCAAATCAAAACTAAATACTTGAAACTTACAAAACAATATATCTGTAAATGTAATATTCCTTTCTCTTAAATCCTATATAATTAATGTATTTCTTTATAGTCTATTATTAACATGTCTAATAATGTAGATTAGCCAATTTTTGGTGCGTGTGAAGAGATAGAGAAAACAAGACAAAATTAAATTTGTTAGATGACTTTTGCATCGGTTGTATATCTGATATCTTATTGAAAATACAAAAATTATGTACATTCCATTGTTCTCAAATCTTAATCAGGTGTTGATTAAGGACTGGATGTAGGTTTGTTGTTTGTATGCCCCCGGACGAAACTGGGTGTCTACAGCTACCCCTCTTTACTTGCCCTTTGGAATAGCTGTGTTGTTTTTCCAAAGGCAAGTAAAGACGTAGACATTTCATCAGGGTCTTCTTCTCGTCTTTGTGTTGATGCTTCTACGTTGCTTCCCTTGGATAGGTGTATTTGCTCGTATCCTCACCCTTTTGAGCAGTCGCGTACTCTATTGGGCAATAAGGCTGACGAACTCTACACCTGATCTTCAGTCTTCGAGTAGAAGTTCCATTATTTCTCTTGTGATAATGTGTTCCTTTATTTGTAGCTTGTTGAAGAGGGAGTATATTCTGAGCTCAGCCTCTCCAAGCTGGACTGACATTTAGGGCTTCAGCTGGCCCACTGGTGGGAGCTCGACGACGGTCCTAATTTTTACTTTGAGGAACTCGGCGGTACCCTCACTGTTATTCATTAATCTGAGAGGCTCGATGGTGGCTCTCAATCAAGCTGGACTGATTTTAAGGCTTCAACCGACCTATGGTGGGAGCTCGACGACAATCCTGATTTTTTGTGAGGCATATTGTAGTGTGAAAGGTTGCCACAAAGCACCTAAAATTTCCCTATTTTGAAGATTCAATAGAGCTCATTCAAGAGCTATTTCAGTTAATCTTTTTTTCTCTTTTTTTATTTCTTATCTATCATAAATATTGTTATAATAAAAACAATCATGTAGACATTTTAGGGTTACTTGTATAATTTAAATTTCAAGCATGTAAATAATTATTAATAAAGGGGATCTAATATTTAATTTATTAATTCTTATCACGTTAACTTCATCATAGGGTACCGATTGAGGGCGTTGTAGGGGTGCTTAATACCTTCCCTACATGTAACCGACTCCCAAACCTAATTCTGGTTATCAAGGCCATTATTGGATTTTTAAAAACCTTTTCTTTTTCTAATGTTTTGAGTAAAACATTGGTGGCGACTCCATAGAACCTATTTTCAAAACCATTGATTAAGGATTAGTCTGGTGTTCGTGCATTCCTTAATTGATGAGACTTTCAAAAGGATGTTTAAACCATAGGTCGCAAGATCAAAAAATTTTGGGTTGCGACACACATGTTCAGGCACTCATGGTGAAAAACATGTGACTCAAATGCAACTTAATGACTTTCAAATTAAACCTAGTTTTGCCTAATTAGCCTATTTAAGTAATCCTTCCATAATCCTATTCTAATGGCCTAAATACAATGGCCAACTTAATACAATAAAAAAGAAAAATTACAAGAATTAAAATGAGCTCAATATTGGTACTAAAAGCCCAAAGGCCCATGAATCCCAAAACTAGGCCCAATAAGCCTATGGCCCAAAATTGCTACCCTATGTGGTCCAAAATACAAGACCAAAATATATGAAACCTATGCTAATATGATATATACAAAATATAAGAAAATGGATATCTCAAGATATGGCCCATGTGAAGCTCAACTTGGGCCTTCCAATCCCATCTATCCATTGGGCCTTGACTGGCCCAAATCTTCATGCTTAGCCCATTCCTCTTGGTTCCTTCAAGGTATCACCTCTTGACTTCCTAGGCATGATTCTATCATCACCTCCCTCTTGAAAAGGATTTGTCCTCAAATCACGAGGGTCTCTATGATAAATATCATTACCTACATAAACAAAACACCAAGTCTGAGAGGTGATAGGTTCAAATGGTGGAAATGGAGGTTGTACCCTAAGAGGGATCCATCTATAAAGCCTGGCAAAGAAATTTATACTAATGACATTAGACTCTCTAAAGATAGGGATAGGATCCTCTTCTAAACAAAGTCTATGAATGTCACTAAATCCTAAAAATGTGATAAAACTATAACTATAATAATTGGAAATGTTATTCCTAAAAACTAAAACATTTTGTCTAAGGTACCCTAAATAGTGACCTAGAAGTTTCTTAAAAAATAAAGAAAATATTACTAGAAAACTTCCTAAATAATTTTGGATTTTATTGCTTGTTAGATGGTCATGAGAAGATAGTGTCTAATGGGGTTTTGAAAACTCATATAAATTATATTTGTCTTGTAGGGAAGGAGTCGAATTAAGTTTTATTGAAGATAAATTTCCCTTAAGATCAAACATAGAGTATAGGACACTACAAGTGGTATCCACCAAACAATATAAACAAAAAATTGGGTGCTTTATTAGAACAACTAAAGAAGAAAGAGTCCTAAAAACAGAAATAATTTTTTCCTTGAGCACTTCCAAGGAAGTAGTATAAGAAGTAGGACTAGTTATAGTCCACTCCTTTTTCACTAAACAATTTTCAAGAACAGGTTTCTCAACTTCAAGATCAATGGCAGCATTAGGGTAAGAGTCAAGACCTTTATGAATAAAGAGAGTATTTTTCAATGGTTGTTTGGTGATAAAGTAACTTTTTTTAATCACAATTTCTTTAGAGGAGGCCCCTTCATCCTCACTCTTCCCTAATAATTCCTTCTATTTTCTTTCTTTCTTTCTTTTTCTTTTCATTTGTTTTTGATCCTCAAACACTTGGGGTGGTGTTAAAGGATTAAAAACAATTTTTCTATCTTTATGAGTGAAGGATATTTTGTTAGTAAGACCATCATGTATAGTATGTTCGTCAAATTTCCATGGTTTACCTAGCAAAATATGACAAGCCTCCATAGGGATCACATAACATAACACTTTATCTTTATAATCCCCTATAGAAAACTTGACCTTCACTTGTTGACTTACCTCCAATTCCTCACCTTCATTGAGCCAATAAAGTTTATAAGGTTGAGGGTGAGGAATGGTGGTGAGAGCTAGCTTGTTAACCAACCTTGTACTACAACAATTAGAGCATGATCCACTATCAACAATGAGAGAAAAAGATCTTTTGGAAACTAAACATCTTGTATGAAAGATGTTCTCTCTTTGTGATGATGAAGTGGGACAAGGTTGACTTCCAAGAAGCATTTTGACCATAAGAAGATCACCATCAATAGGATAAAGTTTTTCTACTTTCTCTTCATGATCATTAGCTTCCTCTTCACTCTCACTAGAAGCAGATGAAGAAGATGAGGACTCTTCACTATAGATGTCTTTACCCTTAAGTATCATAGTCTTTTTCGTGGGGCATTGAGAGACAATGTGGCCTCTACCTAGACATTTGAAACATTTGATCTCACTTGTCCTTGAACTAGTGTGTGAGGTGATCTTTTTCTTTTCCACATTTTATTCAAATTCTTGAGTTTTAGAAGGATTTTCTTTAGAGTAACTCTTGAATGAACTTCCCTCCCTCTTGAGATCTTCCTTTCTATAAGATTTAGAGTTTATATTTTTAGAAGATTTTCTAAGTTTTTGTTGCTCTACCCTTATACAAAGTTGGACCAAGTCATTAAGGTCCCTATAAGGGAGTAATTCAACTTTATCTCTTACATCAAAGTTAAGACCACTTAAGAATCTTGCTATGGTTAATCACTCCTCTTCCCTTATCCCAGCCCTCATTAAATACAACTCCATTTTTTGTCTATAGAGCTTCACATGGGCCATATCTTGAGATATCCATTTTCTTATATTTTGTATATATCATATTAGCATAGGTTTCATATATTTTGGTCTTGTATTTTGGACCACATAGGGTAGCAATTTTGGGCCATAGGCTTATTGGGCCTAGTTTTGGGATTCATGGGCCTTTGGGCTTTTAGTACCAATATTGAGCTCATTTTAATTCTTGTAATTTTTCTTTTTTATTGTATTAAGTTGGCCATTGTATTTAGGCCATTAGAATAGGATTATGGAAGGATTACTTAAATAGGCTAATTAGGCAAAACTAGGTTTAATTTGAAAGTCATTAAGTTGCATTTGAGTCACATGTTTTTCACCATGAGTGCCTGAACATGTGTGTCGCAACCCAAAATTTTTTGATCTTGCGACCTATGGTTTAAACATCCTTTTGAAAGTCTCATCAATTAAGGAATGCACGAACACCAGACTAATCCTTAATCAATGGTTTTGAAAATAGGTTCTATGGAGTCGCCACCAATGTTTTACTCAAAACATTAGAAAAAGAAAAGGTTTTTAAAAATCCAATAATGGCCTTGATAACCAGAATTAGGTTTGGGAGTCGGTTACATGTAGGGAAGGTATTAAGCACCCCTACAACGCCCTCAATCGGTACCCTATGATGAAGTTAACGTGATAAGAATTAATAAATTAAATATTAGATCCCCTTTATTAATAATTATTTACATGCTTGAAATTTAAATTATACAAGTAACCCTAAAATGTCTACATGATTGTTTTTATTATAACAATATTTATGATAGATAAGAAATAAAAAAAGAGAAAAAAAGATTAACTGAAATAGCTCTTGAATGAGCTCTATTGAATCTTCAAAATAGGGAAATTTTAGGTGCTTTGTGGCAACCTTTCACACTACAATATGCCTCACAAAATCTCAAGAAATACAAAAGTGAGAGAGAGAGAAAAAGAGAGAAATTTCGAGCTCTAAGGAGTCTGGACGAAATTTGGAGCCCTGAGAATTGTGCCCGAGATT